GTTTGTTGTTTATTTTATCATTGCACAGGGGGGAAGACATATCTAGATCATTGCTGTATACTAGTTGCACCTGAGAGGCAAATATTGTACTTTTTAAAGTCAATAGTCATTTTGATACATTTTTTTGTTGATTTTCTTTTCCTCTAATTACTTCACATGTCATTCTCTGTTTCCTTATACTTTTCTTTAATTTAAGGGTTATTATACAGAGTGTGTGTGTCCAGATTGAGTTCAGCAGTGTGTTGTGTGTGTGGTGTTTTCAGCACACACTCAGCCCCCTCTAGTGGAAGAAACCTGAACTGCAGCAAAACAAACTTCCTCTTTATGTCACTTCCTTATGAGTGGGAGTAGAGAGGAGGTCGGAACATAATCATACAGTTTGGGTTTAAGCTCTTTTGAGGGATTGTAAACCCACTAAAAAAGCCCTTAAGTGATGATAATCCCCTTAAAGACCATAAGTAGAAAAATAAAGGATTGGTTCCAACTAAAAGTCACAGAAATACACCTTAAAACGAGGATATTGCTAAATATTTGTTTAGCTGTTTATTGACATTAACAATGTATGACTGGAAAGTGAATCTTGAATTCAAAGACCTGTTTATTTTATTATTTATTTTTGTAATTCATTTCCCACTCTTTGGCTTTTCCTCACAAAAAAGCACTTATTTTTGCCAAATGTTACGCAAAAGTTCTTCCGAGCTCAGGTGAGATCTGACGTCACGCCGGAGCTAAGTCAGAAGGGCGAGGGATGTCCAAATATGGTGCGACAATTTCCGGGGGGAAGATGTCGCACCATATTTGGACATCCCTCCTAAAACACTCGCAGCTCTCATGCTTGTTTTCTCAGTTGAATGAGGAGAGAGGAGGAGGAGGGGAAGTTTTTCAGGAGTCGAAAAAGTGACTTTAAGACTTGAAAATCTGCAATTTAATCGATCAATCGGTTCGTTTTCTGCCTCAGGTGCATAACTAAGGAACTTTTGGAGCAGTTTTGACCCCTTTGAGGAGTGAAAAGACGCAGAAAGCAACGCACACAGGTGAGTTTCTCAGTTCCTGTTTACGTTTTCCTGTCCCGATCTAAACTTTCCGGACTTTTATTTAAAGTGTAAACACAGCTTTAACGCTTAAAAATACACGCCGATTAATCGATTGGTCGATCTGTTAAACATAAATTGTGTTTTTACTTAATTTAGTGAGAAAAACATCAGAATTAGAAACAATTTTAGTTTGTTTTCACTTAAAATGAATGTCTTTCGGTGCCTACAATAAATAATCCAACATTTAAACACAACGTTAACGCTAAAAATACACGCCGATTAATCAATTGGTCGATCTGTTACATTTTAATCGTGTTTTAACTTTATTTAGTGAGAAAACACCAGAATTTAAGTACATTTTTGTTTGTTTTTCACTTAAACTGAACGTATTTTGGGGCCTACAATAAGTAATCCACCTATTAAGATGAAATAACAATTCGGGAAAATGATGTAACTAAGTAGGTATAATATTCACAACATCAATATGAAATATGAAAATATAATGTGGTCAATCAAATTTCAGAAATTGAGTAAAAAAAATGGTATTATGATTTCCCCAACCCCACATCTTATTGTTTTTTTTCTGATAAGTAACTAAAACCCTAAATATAACAGTCTGAAAAGAAAATGGAAGTGATATTTAAATATGAGGAAGTATTTCACTTCTACCTTTTTACCTACATCGTTTGCAGACATTTTATTTATTTCTGTGAATGATCTTGTGCATGGTTATTATTATTATTATTATTATTATTATTATTATTATTATTATTATTATTATTATTCCACTTCCTGTTTACAGCTCTGCAGAATCACACTGGGATTAGCTGTGATTAGATTAAAGACACGAGAACTACATTTCCCAAAATTAACTCTGATTCAGCAGCACAAGACTCACAGGAGGAGACCGCTAATATCTGAAGAGAGAGAACCATCAGCAGGAGAGGACTCTTTAAAGTAGAGACACTACATACTGATATACACCTGAACATCAGCAGGAGAGGACTCTTTAAAGTAGAGACACTACATACTGATATACACCTGAACATCAGCAGGAGAGGACTCTTTAAAGTAGAGACACTACATACTGATATACACCTGAACATCAGCAGGAGAGGACTCTTTAAAGTAGAGACACTACATACTGATATACACCTGAACATCAGCAGGAGAGGACTCTTTAAAGTAGAGACACTACATACTGATATACACCTGAACATCAGCAGGAGAGGACTCTTTAAAGTAGAGACACTACATACTGAAATACACCTGAACATCAGCAGGAGAGGACTCTTTAAAGTAGAGACACTACATACTGATATACACCTGAACATCAGCAGGAGAGGACTCTTTAAAGTAGAGACACTACATACTGATATACACCTGAACATCAGCAGGAGAGGACTCTTTAAAGTAGAGACACTACATACTGATATACACCTGAACATCAGCAGGAGAGGACTCTTTAAAGTAGAGACACTACATACTGATATACACCTGAACATCAGCAGGAGAGGACTCTTTAAAGTAGAGACACTACATACTGATATACACCTGAACATCAGCAGGAGAGGACTCTTTAAAGTAGAGACACTACATACTGATATACACCTGAACATGAGATGTCCTCTTTATATTGTGAGTAATTTCTCCCTCTGCTGCTAAATACCTCCGCTGCGCACAACATTTCACACCACAGTGAACGTGTGCTTGTATACACACTGTTAGAGCTGCACAAGGCTTTTATTTTGTATTTAAAAAGATAGAAAACATGTCACTTTTTAAAGCTCACTCTCAGCCCTTAAGCAAAGTGTACCAGAAGCTAAAAAACGTTATTTTGTTGAATTCTGGTTCCTGCTTGATAAGGACGTCAATGTTGACAGACTACTACCAAAGCCAAGTGTGAGCGTGTGAAAAGCCCTGTGGCATTAAGTGTGTGTGTGTGTGGGCGTGGGTGGGTGTGTCTGATTTAAAGGGAGTGGCAGCCTCAGGTGACTAATAGTCAAAACAGTCATTCTAATTTAAGCCTTCTTCCATGTGTGTGTGTAAACAGTGTGTGTGTGTGTATACTGTGTGTGTGTGTGTGTGTGCGTGTGTGAGGTCAGTCACCCGCAGGAACTCGATTAAGCAATAAAGAAAAATTCCTGCTTCACAAATCCAGGCGTCACAGCAGTTAAAAACTCCATTAAAAATGTCCCTGATCTAGTGACGCAGGATTCCTCTGACGATAACAACGCTGCTGCATATTACAAAACCAGGTTACAGAGAAACTGCATTAGATTAGTTTAAATGTGATCTGCTGATAATTTAAAGTTGGAAAAATCAAGTCTAATGTATGAAAAGTGAGTTGTTATGAATGCAGTAAACGTGGCTGAAAGGTGAAGGGAGTTTGCAAAAGGCTTTGTGGTAGTTTGGAGTTTTTTGAGAATACAAATCAGAAGTTTCAAGATGTAAAAATAGTGAAATAAAATTGACATAATGCTGCAAGCAAAATGCAGGTATAATCAGATTGTCAAATTAAATGATGTACAGTAGAATAAAATGCTGTTTATTGTAACAATATATACATTTAAATAAAACAAGTAGAAGATAAATATATTACATCTCCTGTATAAAAAGCCTCTGTTACATTTTTTTAATACAGTTTAAAGAAAGAATATTTAAATATTATTTGCATTTATAGTAATGTTTATGAACCCTAACCCTGTAATAATAATTATTGTATTATTTAGACGTAGAATAAAATACTGTATATTGTAATTATATATAAATATTATATTTGATTAAAAGGGAGAAATAGCCTATTTACAGAAATGTCTAATATTGGGCATTTTTCCTATTAATTAAACTAATAAATAATTACATTTCTTTTTTATATTTCTGTTGAATGTTAGGTGGCAACAAAACACCTTTTGTTTGTATCTGTAGTTATATTTATATAGAAATAAATAAGAAAACTAATTAAAAAATGTTCTAAATAAAATGTTTTTTTGTCTTTTTCAGATTTGTGCTGACTCATCCTCATCGACCAACCCCCTGCCACCATTTTGACTTCTTATATCTATCAACATATTGAGTTTTAATCAGTAATGTCTGACTTTTCACCCGTTTCGTTGGATTATTGAACCAATAGAAGTCAACACCTGATAGAGGAATATTTGTGAAACTCAAGCTTTTTATTTTCAAGTTAAGCTGATTTTTATTGGTCAGCTGACTCATTCCAAAGCCTGTGATTGGTCGTGACACAAGAGAAGTTCTTCCTTATTGGTCGATGAGGAATTAAAGTGCAAACTGACTTTTGACCAGTTTTTCGTTGAATTATTGAACCCGGAGAAGTCCACACTTGATAGAGGAAGCCTTTGTCGTCTCGTTGAACTGATTTCAATTGGTCAGCTGACTCATTCCAAAGCCTGTGATTGGTCGTCATACAACAGAAGTTCTTCCTTATTGGTCAAAGAGGAACTAAAGTAGAAAGTGTATTTTCGTTGGATTAGTGAAGGGATTTTGTTAAGCCTTTTTCGTGTAGTTGAACTGAGTTCAATTAATCAGCTGACTAATTCCAAAGCCTGTGATTGGACGTTGAATAAAATAACGTCTTCCTTATTGGTTGAAGAGGTATTCAAGTAAAAAAATGGCGGCTTCAGAGCTGATCCAGGACAGCGACGACATCCGGCCCCACTTGGAGGTCAACGTCACCACAACGGATCCGGAAACGCCTCCTCCAATTATCGCCAACGGAAACCCCGTCTGTCACGCTTCCTCACCGACGCCGACGCCATCGCCGCCCGCCAACGGGAAAAAGACGGCGCAGGAAGGCAACAACATGCTGAGCAGCATTTTGAAACAGAACCAGCTGATCCAGTCTCTGAGGCAATATATATATATATATATATAATATGCCGTCAATAACTGTGCAATATATACCTGGCTGCTAAATCCTCAGAACTGTTACAGGATGTGTATTCTGTAAATTGTGTAACTTTTTTTATTATAATTGTTGTATCTTTAAAGGTCCCCTATTATACTGTTTTTCATCAATATATCACAGGTCTCAGATATATACAGAGCCTGTCTCTGATTGGCTGAAACACCAAACAGATCATGGCAGCATTACCCATAATCCCCTCTGTTTCAGCCCTGTTTCCAAAGTGCTGATTCTCTGTCTGTTACTTCAGATGAAAATAAGGAGCCCCTCCCCACGCCCCTCTGAGAGAGATTTGGTTACAAAGAACTCAATGGTGCTCTAGGAGGAGATTCAGGTGATAAGGTGGTGGGGTGGGGGGTTACCTTGGTTGGTGATTGGCTAATGGTTACACAAGACAACACATCGTTATGACATCATAAAGTGGCCAAAATCTGATCAGCTCATTTTCAGACAGGTTGTTATAAATGGATCTGGACAAAAAGAGAGAGAATCTTTTTTCCTGAAACTTCCAGAATCTTTACACATGTTGATGGAGAAGAGACATGAAAAAGTGGATTTTGTATAATAGGTGACCTTTTAATACTTTTTTATGCATGCTTCTTAGTTAACATTAAGCTGTCTTTGGCTCTTTTCTGCTGTAACAATATAAATGTTCCCCATAATAAAGTTATTCTGATTCTGATTCTCAGCAGCCGGCTGCAGCGCCGATGTGACTACGTGAAGATCGCGGTGTCGGAGGAACGCGCCGACCACCTCCCCGCCGAGTGGTGGAAGACGGGCGTGGCCTTCCTCTACTCCGTCTTCATCCTCTTCTTCACCACCGTCATCATCACCGTGATCCACGAGCGAGTGCCCGACAAATCGGTGAGCCCGCCGCTGCCCGACAAGTTCTTCGACTACGTGGACCGCGTGCCGTGGGCGTTCACCGTCACCGAGGTCAACGGACTGATCCTCTGCGGACTGTGGCTGGTGCAGCTTTTCTTCCTCAAACACAAGTAGGGTTACCCCATATCAATACTATTACTACTGCTACTACTACTATTATTATTACTACTACTACTACTACTACTACTACTACTACTATTATTATTATTATTATTATTATTATTATTATTATTATTACTACTACTACTACTACTACTATTATTGTTACTACTGCTACTACTACTATTATTATTACTACTGCTACTACTACTACTATTATTGTTACTACTGCTACTACTACTATTATTATTATTACTACTGCAACTACTACTACTACTACTACTACTACTATTATTATTACTACTACTATTATTACTACTGCAACTACTACTATTATTATTATTACTGCTACTACTACTACTCCTACTACAACTACTGCTACTGCTACTGCTACTACTACTATTATTATTATTACTACTGCAACTACTACTACTCCTACTACTACTACTACTACTACTACAACTACTGCTAATACTACTACTACTACAACTACTGCTACTACTACTACAGCTACTGCAACTACTACTACTACTGCAACTACTACTACTACTATTACTACTACTACTACTACTACTACTACTACTACTGCAGCTACTACAACTACTGCTACTACTGCAACTACTACTACTACTACTACGTGTTACACAGTACAAGTACGATTACCCCAATCTGTACTACTACTAAGGCGAAATTAAATACGGTGTATTGCAGTGATAACTATTTAGATAAATAAGTATATGCAAGATGCGAACAGATGAATGTTATGGATGTTGTTTCAACAGTTCCGGTGTTTAACAGATGTTGTTTCAAGACAGAACAGTTTGTAGCTGGGGTGATGGGGGTCTTTGATAATCCTGAGGGCTTTCTTCCTGAGCCGCTGGGAGTAAAGGTCCTCCATGGATGGCAGCTCCGTCCTGGTGATGTGCTGTGCAGTTTACACCACCCTCTGTAAAGCCTTACGGTTCAGGACGGTGCAGCTGCCGTACCAGGCCGTGTTGTGTAAATGACTTTAACAATTGAGCGATCTAACTTTAGACTTATCTAACGTTGACTTATCTAACGTTGACTTATTGCAACAGCTAAGGGAAGATGTCCCTAAGTGCTAGCAGCACGGATGAAATGTATATATTTGAAACGTCTTCTCTCTGCAGAGCTATAATCGTCCGTCGCTGTTTCTTCATGATCGGGACCCTGTACCTGTACCGCTGCATCACCATGTACATCACCACTCTACCGGTGCCGGGGAAACACATGGTCTGCGCCCCAAAGGTACAAATACACAACATCCTGTACATTTACTGCATGTTTACCTGTTCCCTCCTTACAGTATGTTCTGTTTCCTGCAGCTGTACAACGACTCGACGGGGAAGATCTGGAGGATTCTGAGTCTGATCTCAGGAGGAGGTAACACCCAAACACTCAACTGTTAAAAATATACAATACAATACACAGCTTTATTTATAAAGCACTTTAAAACCTCCAGACCAAAGTGCTGTACAGTCAAATAAACAAACAAACATTCACAAATCACACAGCTCAGCTCACACACCATAAAACAAGTACAAGTAAAAACAATAGACAATTTAAAAGCAACAATCTACGAGATGTTAAAATGCTAAGGAGAAGCGGAGTGTTTTAAGGAGCGATTTAAACGCAGTGTGGAGGCCCGTCTGATTTGCAGGGGCAGATCATATAACTAAAGACTGGTCAAACCTTTCCACTGATTTTGTTGTTGTTGTTTTGTTTCTGTTTGTTTGTTGTTTAGGTTTGTCTCTGACCGGCTCTCAGCTGATGTGCGGTGACTTCCTGTACAGCGGTCACACCGTCATGTGTACGCTGTCCTACCTCTTCATCCAAGAGTGTGAGTACACACACTTTAAAGCAAACTGCAGACATGTCCATTACTCAATTTAATGAGATATTTTGTGAGAAATTAGTTGGAAAATCTTGGTGAATCTTTCAATATTACTTATCAATCTTGAATTAAAAAGGAAACAGGCTTAGAGGCATGTTCATGTATTTCAAAGTGGATCTTTCCTTTAAAACAGTGATACAGTTTTTGGTAAGAAAAGCAGTTACTTGTAAAAGAAGTGTTTCTTATGGAAATCAGTCAGTTTTCTTCTTTCTGTGCAACCAGTCAGATTACATACACGCTTCGGGGATGTTTGGTTTACGCCAGACGGGTTGGACTTTTTAAACAGCAGGCGAATTGATGTCGTTACCAGAATGAAAGTATTTTGAGACGTGACATCCACTCTCGATCTCAGTCCGCTGATTATTTCAAGCAAGCAACTAACTGTCTATATTCAAATACTAACATCTGTATTTATGTACACATCAACATCTCGCGTCAAAACCAAAAATAATCTTCACACATCCATAGTGTGATGTACAGCAGTGCTATGTCCAGGAACATGTGTGTGACGTGTGTGTGTGTGTGTGTGTGTGTGTGTGTGTTTTTCAGACTCCCCCCGGTGGATGTGGTGGTATCGATGGATCTGTTGGTGCCTCAGCGCCTCGGGGGTTCTCTGCATCCTGATTGGTCACGAGCACTACAGCATCGACGTGGTGGTCGGGTACTTCGCCACCACCAGGACCTTCTGGTGGTACCACACCATGGCCAACACACATGTAGGTTCACACACACACACACACACACACACACACACACACACACACACACACACACACCGGCTCGGTTCGCTGACAGCCGGCATATCCCTTTATTTTTCATGTTTTTAAACGGCATAATTTAAGTTGCGCTGACATGCGACAGGCTCTACCAATTTGTGTGGGCTGGGCAAATAGACACAATCAAATATGGTGCTTTTTAAGAATCTGAAACCAGTAAAGTGTTATTTTTGATTAATACGTATTCGTGATTATTTTAGCAGTTAAATTACATTTCTTTGCCAATAAAAGGTCAGAAAAAAACCTAAAATAAAAACAGTAAAACAACTTTCAAGACATATTTTTGTTTTAAATACGTATACCTCATTATTTTATTCAAATAGACAGTCTTAATCCTATCCTATTTTGGGCAAATAGACACAATCAAATATGGTGCTTTTTAAGAATCTGTTATTGTTTTATTAATAAGTTCTCCTGATTATTTTCTCTGCCCAGGCTCTGCGTCAGGCTCCCAACAACTTCCTGTCGAGGACGTGGTGGAACCCAATCTTTAACTTCCTGGAGAAGAACGTCAGAACCACAGTTCCCGTCGTGTTCTCGTGGCCGGTGGCGCTGCCCTCGTCCTGCAGACAGCGGTACCGGATAGTGGAGGGAGGGAGGGACGAGTGAGGATTAACCATCATGCATCCTGTTTGAACAAAGCTTTATTTATTATTATTTCCTCTGCTTGACACTGAAAGGACGACGAGTTTACATCATCAGGAACGCCTGGGATTTATTTTTACAGGACGGACGACGGAGAAAATCAGTCAATCCATGGTTCCTCTTCTTTGTTTTGAATGTAAATGTATGTAAATGTAAGCGTATTAACAAAGATGGCGGCCGCTTAAAGCATCTGCTGCTCTGATTCCTGCAGCTGGTGCTTCTGGGTTTATCATCAAGACAAATGTCCTCAAAATGGGTTATTTTTTGTAAAATGTTGTAAAATAGTCCACAAAGAGTCCTTACGCTGTGTAGTGAAAGCTTGTTGTTTAGCTAACACATGCTAGTGCACTAATCGTAACAATGCGAGGGCCTGCTATGATGATAATAATGATATTTATATATCTTTATGCAAACATTAAGGCACATGTTACAGCGCCCCAAAAAGTGATAGTCAGTCAGATTATTTCTAAATTGTTAGTTTGTTAGCTAGCCAGAGATTCATGATCAAAGATATATATAGCTAGAAACGTAGCATTTTGAGATTTAATCCTTATGGCATTGGTTAAAAATATGCTTTTGCATCCGTGAAAGGTAAATGTACCACTTCCCAACAAATAACAATAAGGGTAAGTATTTAAATATGTAGAATATAATTTAGTTTGTTAGCTAGACAGAGATTTACAACCTAAGATTCATTACTAGCGGAAATCCTCAGTTTTGAACTTGTTTAGGTTTTGGATTGCGGTTAGCAACATGCTAACTACAAAAAAAAGTAGCCTCCATGAATGGTGAATGTATCTCCTCCCAACCACTAATTATGAAGCTGAATGTTTACATATTGAGAATATTTCTTACTGTTTAGTTGTTAAACTAGCTAGAGTTTCAGGACCTAAAATAGTTAGCCATTTAGCATTTTCATGGCTACGTTCAGTTTGGTCAAAGTTGTTCAGACATACATGAACGGTAAATGTAACATCTACCGACAAAGAAATAAAGAGATTATTTCTGAGTGTTGGCTAGCTAGCTTCAGGGTCAAAGCTGAACTGCTAGGGACTTAGCATTTTCACAGCTAATTTCATTACTTTGGACATATTTGCTCATTGTTTTGGGTACAGTTAGCCACATGCTAACTACAGAAACAAGGGTTTTGAAAAGTAAGAGTAATATATGAGTATTGTTGTACATTTCTTTCTATACTTTATTATTGTTAAGTTATATTTACAAGTCAAAATGTGTTTATTGTTGAGACGCTGAGTTCAGTGTTCTCCTCTTCTCTCTTTTTTTACACTGTTCTTTATTGTAAAATAAACAATTTGAACTTCCACCAGTTGGATTAATGAAGATTAATGTTGTTTCATAAAGCTCCATCAAAAGTAAAGTTCATTATAAGTGAACTACTACATTAAAGAGGCAAATAGAGCACTTTTTCCTCCACTACATATACAACTCATATTTTATAAAAACATAATAAAAGCGAATAGGTTTTGATGCAGTACTTCATCCTAATTAGCCCAGTATTTTACAAAGTATTTAAAATTGGCTTAACATGAAAAACTACAAGATTAAAAACAGGGAAATATAATGACCTAATACAGTGTATGGAGCAATCCTTCAGAATGAATACTCTTACCTTTGTATTTACGCTTAATTAACACATTTTAATTCAGGACTTTTACTTTATTGGAGTATTTTTCCAACATTTTATTCACACTTTTACTTTAGTTAAAGGGGACCTATCATGCAAAATGCACTTTTGTACGTCTTTTCTACATGAATATGTGTCCCCGGTGTTCCAGGGAACTCACCAAGTGTCAGAAAACACAACCCTCTCTATTTTCCTCCATACCCAAATCTCTAAAAAAGGGGCTGCAACGGATCTGATAAAAACTGATCCAGATTTTAACACTGTCCTGACGTCAGGACGGTGGCGCTACGGCTATTGGGCCAACTCCACCAATCAGGAGGAGACAGCCACGGCCATTGCCGTTCGAAAGCGCTGGAGACGCTGTAGTACATATGCCAGGCCTGTAGGTGGTGCTGTTCTCACAGAATCTGCCCTTGCAAAAACAGGGGTAAAAATGTCAAATTGAGCGAAATGAGGCATGGCTAAAATGCATGATCTGTTTGGTATTTTGAAAAAAAAAAAGTATAAATATGCCTTATATAGGTATGGTCCTACACTATATTATTATAATATAGCATGATAGGTCCACTTTAAGTTTTTATTTGCTGTTTTGTCTCGACCTGGGACTGCTTCCTGTCGGCTCTTGGCTCCTCTTCCTCTTCCTTTTACCCTGGAAAGAGAAGAAGAAGAATGTGTAGATTTCTGAAGCACAAACACAGAATATATATAATGTTGTTGTTGTTGTTGTTGTTTATGCAGGGCTTTACGTACGTAGTTATCCCTGGCGGACCAGCCGGGGTAAAGCTGCATGTGGAGCAGCCTCTCTTTCTGGGCCAGGTCGTAGTATTTAGATTGTTCAGAGCGAGACAGAGCGTGCCACTGAGGAACAAAGAGGGGTTAAAGGTTATTCTTCCTTTAGCTTAAAGGTCCCCTATCATACTGTTTCATCAATATATCACAGGTCTCAGATATATCCAGAGCCTGTCTCTGATTGGCTGAAACACCAAACAGATCATTGCAGCATTACCCATAATCCCCTCTGTTTCAGCCCTGTTTCCATAGTGCTGATTCTCTGTCTGTTACTTTAGATGAAAATAAGGAGCCCCTCCCCACGCCCCTCTGAGAGAGATTTGGTTAAAAAGAACTCAATGGTGCTCTAGGAGGAGATTCAGGTGATAAGGGGGGGGGGGGGTACCTTGGTTGCTGATTGGCTAATGGTTACACAAGACAAAACATCGTTATGAAATCATAAAGTGGCCAAAATCTTTTTTTTTTTTTTTGCAAATCACTATAGGAGGCAGTAGTTGTATCATTTCAGATGTAAAACATTTAGAGCAATGTGTTTCCCAATGTGCACCTGGTTTGATACTTTCATAGAGTGGTGCAGTGATGAGTCTTAAAACCAGAAAGTGAGTTAGCATTTTATCACTTCCTGTTCCCTCGTCTCAGAGCCAATGGGATCTCTCCATAGGATTTAGGAAGATAGCTGGAAATAAGGTCTGTGGTTGAGACACATTGAAGAGACGGATCACGTTTTGTTCTAGGACATTAAATCCATCAGCAGTGACCCCACTAGTGATTTCTGAAGAGTTGACGTGTCTGAAAAACGATGGTTGTCACCAAGTGGCTGAATAGGACTACAGAAGTCGTGGAGGACGTTGTACGTCATTACGCCGAACACATGAACACTCCTCTAAGTTTGTTTCTGTTCTGCTTGAAAGCAAGTACCTGCCTCCTGCAAAGTGTTCAAACAAATGCTTCAACTCGTACCATTTAGAATCTGTATGTTTCAATATGGATCTTAAAGGTGGGGTAGGTAAGTTTGAGAAACCGGCTCGAGATACACTTTTTGTTATATTCCATGGAATGCTCTTAACATCCCGATAGCAATGAATATCTGAAGTGCTTTGACAAAAAATCCATTAAAAAAACTATCATCTGTGGAAGCCGTGGTACTGTAAAAAGCACGACCAATCATTTGAGCCGGCCCGGCTAAAATAACTGGATGGCCTACCTGCCTGTCAGCCTTCCATCTGTGCACAAACTTATCTCGTGCCCTCATTGGTCATGTGCGCGTTCGTGTGTGTTGGGGGAGGGGCTCTGTAAGGAAGTGGCAGATTTCTTCCGGCTGTGTATTTTCAAATTCTAGCGATCTCGAGCCGGTTTCTCCAAAATGACCTACCCCACCTTTAAGTTGGCGTGACGTTGAAGTCGTGCTGCTGTACTCGGCTCTAGTTCCTTTATAGCATAACGTTAGCATTTTGCTTCTGGCCATTAGATTTATGATTAGAACATTATAGAAATAGGGTAGACATGTGGAGATTATCCGGCTGAACAAAACGTGCATTTATCAAACAGGTTCGTTTTCCACAGATCTTATTTCGAGCTATTGTCCAAAATCCTATGGAGAAATCCCATTGCTTTTCTGTCGAGGGAACCAGCAGCCTACTTCAAGGTAAATACGTCATCCCTGCACCGCTCTATAGCAAGAGATGACAGGTGAGATAACCCTTGTGACATCACTATGACATAATTATAAGTGGGCGTGGCTTACCCTGCGTCCCAGGATGCGGTTGATGGCGGCACTTTCTCTCTCGCGTCCTTCCTGCAGAACTTTGTGTCTGGTTTCCTTCATGAAGAGCATGAAGGCGTTCAGAGGCTTCTTCACCGTCTGTCTGAGAGCGAGACCACAGAGGAGTTCAAAAGTCAACATTTGACCCAAACATAGATGACTCGGGTCAGTGTGCAGACACTTTGTTGTTCACCAAATAACAGGAAAGTGAAATGTGTGTGAGAAGAACCATAAATCTCTCTGTTTGTTCTCATGGATTTTCTAAAGTGCTTTGTGAGGAGGATTTCTCGTGGAATTCTTTTTGTGGTTAAATGTGAAACTTATATTAAGTGAGTAATTAGAACAATTAGAAGTGCACAGCCCCGACTATTAAAGCAGCAACAATCACTAGGAAAGCAGAAAATAAAAGTCTATGTTCTTGTACACATCGTATATTATATTTACATGTATATAGACATGTTGCACTACTTTTTATTTGTATTTTTGTATTTTATTATATATGTTGCTTTGTTGGAGGAGATCAGGTCAGAAAATGTCATATCATTTCTACACCGTAGCTTAGTCAAGAATCTGTGTCTAAAGTACCGTCTCATAGCTTTCAAAACGAATGCTTTCTGCAAAGACGGTATATCATTGTTGTCGTTGTTGTCATGACTAACCTGACAACACAAGCTCACCTGTTGATGCCGTTGCCATGGTAACAGGTGTCTGCCCCTAAGGAGTGGGCGTCAGCTTGTTTGGAAGCGGCTGCACCGATTGGTCCGCTGTAAGGAGGGGAAGGGGGGAGGAGTCTGTCGCTGTAAAGGAGGAGGGGCACGAGAGGGTGGACGCACTCCTGCAGAGGAAATAATAATATACAAATCATAATAATAAGATACAATAAATATGTATACAAATATTAATTAAAATATGAATTTGAACCAAAAACATAAATTCAAAATATAAATCTGAACCAAAAGTATCAATAATGATAATATTTATTATTATATTAAATACAAAATAATACAATGTATTTATAGGGCACCTTTTAATTGTAATAATTAGAGTTAACATTCATTAAAATGCTACAAAATAAATGTAAACAACATATTTGTTGTACTTTTTGTCGAGGGAACCACGTATAATATCCCCACAGTACTCTATAGTATGCATTTAGAGTATTAGTACACAAAAAGTACTTGATGTTACAGGAAGAGACGGCAGCTTGTAGGTTTCTCCTCTCAGCGCTGATTCCTTCACACTAACTGTGTTGGATGGATAACAAACTGACCAGAGGGAAACATAACAGCACAGTATGGCACACACACACACACACACACACACACACACACACACACACACACACACACACACACACACACACACACACACACACACACACACACACACACACACACACACACACACACACACACACACACACACACACACACACACACACACACACACACAGACACACACACACACACACACACACACAGACACACACACACACACACACACACACACACACACAGACACGGCCTGAGGTCAGTGCAGGGTTTTACATTTAACACTGATTGTGTTAGAAGGGGAGCGTATTGGCTTAAAGGGGTCATTTGTCCACACACACACACACACACAACACACACACACACACACACACACACACACACACACACTCACTCACATTAGCAGCAGTGTGTGTTGTGTGTGGTCGCCCCCCGCTGGTCTGATCCAGGTACTGCTGCTGAGGTTCACACCAGTCAGACACCTGAAATGTACCTGAGAAATGAAAATGAAAAAAACATCACTTTTTTAATAAATAAATATATTTGTATTATTAAGTTGGATTAAGGATATTAATTGTATGTCGTACCTGCAGGGCTCTGGTTCAATCCAATCTCCTAAACAATAATAATAATTCAATTAGTTCACACTCATATTGCGGGACATCAATCAAACATTTTATACATTTTTACAAAAAGTAAGTAAATATTAAATATAAAGTGCATTTTTAAAGAGCACGAGAACAAAAAACAGCACAGCCAATATATATTAATTAATTATATTATTCGTTATATTTATACATTTTTAAATAATGAACTTAAAATGGAGAAAGGTGACCCTAAATAATAATTATAATAAAAACTTTTCTTACAAATATTGTTGACAAATGATAATAAAGACTGTATTTAAATGATGCAGTAAAATCACATGAATTAGATCAAATAAAAGATTATCTTAAGATGATAAGAGATAATACAATAATAACAACTAATTTAATAAAACAGTAATACAAACTCACCCCTCTGCTGGACATCTGCTCCATTTGTTAATAATAATAATAATAATAATTTGAATTAAAACAGGAGAGGAGTGGAAGATCTTCAGACCTCCAACTGGTGGGATTAAATCATGTTTGTGATGATATACACACCCAAACCACCCCCCCACGACACCACACACACACACACACACACACACACAACACACACACAACACACACACACACACACACACACACACACACACACACACACACACACACACACACACACACACACACACACACACACACACACACACACACACACACACACACACACACACACACACACACACACACACACACACACACACACACACACACACACACACACACACACCACACACACACACACACACACACACACACACACACACACACACACACACACACACACACACACACACTGTCAGTCATTGTTTGCCTTGGGTTGCTCCGCTGCCATTGCTCATTTTCTTGTTACTCAGTTTCTACACTTATTTATGCAGCGAGGAATAATAACAAAATGCGTTTCTATTATTTTGTCCACCCCATTCACTTCAATGAAGGTATGCTGAATAACCTACACATCTCCTTAAATAAATAATCATGAAGTTGTATCACCGTCTGTCCGTCAATGAACACGCAAAACACTGACATTTAAAATGAAACTAAAGCAAAAATAAGCCAAACGTAATCAGAATTATTGAATTAAAAATGGGAAAAACTGAGCATTTCCTTTATAGTGTGTTTCACTGTTTATTGTTTTTATTCACCCACGGAACTATGGGTGGGGGTATTGTTCCGCACAGACATTTGAGTTAGCCGGACCTCCGGTTTCCTCGGTCAGTTTTTCCAGACTTGAAGTTGTTTACATTCTGTTTTCATGTCTATTAAAAGTCTAGCTTGTTCTTTCGACACACCGCCTCCGACTCCCGTCTCTCGGCAGACCCCGACATAAGTCTCGTAGAAGTATCCGAGACTGAACCGAACATGGCAAATAACGCAGTTTTTCTCAAGAGGTGCCGTTCCCCCTGCACCTACAAGGCAACGGGAAACGCCAAGGCCTGCGCTCAGTAGTGGCCACGAGCGTGGGCACATCCAACCCAATCCTGTTAATCAGGGACACCCTCTCTGGTCGCAGACTCCTGTGTGACACTGGCGCCCAGTGTTTTAACACCTTCTCAGTGAGTTTCCCGACTTGACGCAGCCCACCTTTTCCGCTGCCACTACCAAACACGGGGTCGAGCACCACATTGACACTAGAGGCCCCCCAGTCTACGCTAGGGCCCGGCGGCTCAACCCTGACATGCTGGCGTGTGGTGACTACCGCCGCCTTAACGACGCCACTACGCCAGACCGCTACCCGGTCCTTCACATCCAGGACTTCTTTGCACACCTGGCGGGCAAGCTGGTCTTCTCCAAGGTGGATCTGGTGCGGGGCTACCACCAGGTTCCGGTGCACCCCTCGGACGTCCCCAAAACTGCGGTGATTACGCCGTTCGGGCTGTTCGAGTTTCTGCGTATACCATTCGGACTTAAGAATGCAGCTCAGTCCTTTCAGCGGCTGATGGATTCGGCGCTCAGAGACATGCCATTCATCTTCGTCTATTTAGACGACATCCTTGTCGCTAGCTCCTCTGAAAAAGAGCACCAGGCACATCTCCGAGACCTTTTTGCGAGGCTCAACTAACACGGCCTGATTATCAACCCGGCGAAGTGTCAGTTCGGGTTGTCCTCCATCCACTTCCTCGGACATCTCATCAGCAAAGATGGAGCAGCCCCCCTCGCGTCGAAAGTGGAGGCCGTGTCCGCCTTTCCCCGACCGCCCACAGCTCGGGCGCTCCGAGAGTTCCTCGGGATGGTGACGTTTTATCACGGGTTCATCCGCCGGGCTGCCCACACCATGCGCCCGCTGTACGAGGCCCTCAAAGGCAAGTCCCCCAGCCAGGCCATAGACTGGACGGCTGAAAGGGAGGCTGCTTTCGATGCCACCAAAGTCGCCCTGAGCGAAGCCGCCATGTTGGCTCACCCGTCACACAAGGCCCCCATCGCTATCACCACCGATGCATCTGACTACGCTGAAGGCGCGGTGCATGAACAATGGGTCGACGGCGCCTGGCAACCGCTCACTTTTTTCAGTCGCCAGTTGACCCCCAGGGAGCGCAAGTACAGCGCTTTCGACAGGGAACTCCTTGGCCTATAGTTGGCGGTTCGCCACTTCTGTTTCCTGCTGGAAGGCCGTGAGTTTACGGCGTTCGTGGATTACAAGTCACTCACATTCTGCATGTCAAAGGTTGCCGAGCCGTGGTCTGCCCGACAGCAACGCCAGCTGTCGTACATATCTGAGTATACCACGGACATCCGACACATCGCTGGTAAGGCTAACGTGGTCGCGGACTTCCTCTCCAGAGCGGTCATCAGAGCTGTGCAGCTGGGCCTCGATTACCTCCGCATGGGCGCTGACCAGGCCTCTGAGCACCAAGGCCTCGGTCACAGGATTACGCCTGGAGGAGGTCGCGGTCGGTGACTCGGGCCCAATGGCCCGAGGCCGTTTCCCTCACCTCAACGGCAGCTTCTGACGCTTTCATCGGCACGTGGGTGGCGCACTTCGGGACCCCATCTGACCTCTCCTCTGACCGCGGCTCTCAGTTCACCTCGGAGCTTTGGAACGCTGTTGCTGAATGTTTGGGGGTCAAGCTGCACCGCACCACCGCATATCACCCCCAGGCTAACGGATTATGTGAACGTTTTCACCGATCCATGAAGGCGGCCCTGCGTGCCGGCTTGACAAACGGCAACTGGGTGGATAAGCTCCCGTGGGTTATGCTCGGCCTCAGGTGTGCCCGCAAAGAAGACCTGCAGTCCTCGTCGGCGGAGTTCGTCTATGGCCAGGCGCTACGAGTCCCCGGGGAATTCATTCCCGCCGCCACTGTGCCTTGGTCTGCGGCCGGGCAGCGCTCCTCCCTGCTGGAGACCGCCGGGACATTCACGCCCGTCCCCACGTCGCAGCACAGCAACCCAGCTTTCCGGGTGTCCCCCGGACTACGGTCGGTGGATTACGGTTTTTATTCGCCACGACGCCCCCTGCGGCCCCCTGCGGCCCCCTTACGACGGCCTGTTCAAAGTCATACGACACGGGGACAAGAGCCTGGTGGTGGACGTTGGTGGCAGACCTGAGACTGTGTCCGTCGACAGGATTAAGCCTGCTCATGTGGACGTTTCCAGGCAGTTGGAGTTGGCTCTTCCCCCACGTCGGGCCGTCCTCCCATACCCTACCCCCCAGGGGTGGCCCTCGCCCTCGTTGGTGCCCCTGCCCTCGCCTGCGGCCCCGCCCTCCTCTGCCCCTGTGGTCCGTACGCGCCGGGGTCGGGTGGTCCTTCCTCCCCGACGCGAGGATTTTGACTATGGGTGAATTCTGGGGGGTGGGGGGGGGGGCTTGTGTGGTGGGTTGACATAATTCACCCACGGAACTATGGGTGGGGGTATTGTTCCGCACAGACATTTGAGTTAACCGGACCTCCGGTTTCCCCGGTCAGTTTTCCCGGGCTTGAAGTTGTTTGTATTCTGTTTTAATGTCTAATAAAAGTCTAGCTTGTTCTTTCGATACACCGCCTCCGACTCCCGTCTCTCGGCACTACACCGTATAAAAATGATTGAATTACTTAAAATCACTTTGCATAAATTGAATCTTAAATAATAATTTTAAGTAAATAAAAAAATGTCTTCTAGAATTCATCTTTTATGTTTTGCAACATGAATGTTGTTCCTTTCTTTAACAACTTATTTTTTAAATGCCACATCTTATTATTAAAGGTATTATTATCATTAACATTTTATTTTAACTTATTGTGCTTTTATAAATATTTGTATTTTATTTATTATATATTTTTTAATATTATTATATGTATTTTTTGAGATTAAGTATTCATAATTGGAGCAACTTTCAGAACGCCACGTTTTCCCCTCAGATAAATAACGTTATGTATTTATTTTTAATAGATTGGCTTTCATTCTTTCTGTTATTATTTGACCACTAGATGGCACTGTCTGTTTTTTCTCCTGTATTTCAACAACGTTTATTGAAAGACAACAACTCCCAGGATGCATCAGCTATTATCCGCCCTTGATAACAGTGATACACTCGTTGAGACTGTAAGGATACACTGGACATGGATGTATTATAATAACGTTTAGATTTTATTTGAATCATTAGGTTTTAAAAGTTATAACATGCTCTAAAAGCTGAATCCATTGTTATTTTATCTCTCCATTCCTCTGACTGACAGAGAGCGGAGGCGGGGCTTAAGGGAAAACTCTACTGCGCATGCTCTGTGGGCCCACGTCTGGGTACTTCTGCTCTCGACCACGCTCTCAGGCAGGATCCAGTTGTTGTAAAGCTTCCATCAGTCGGAGTCTCTATCAGCTCTCATTCATATATATCTGTGATATATTAGAATATAACCCGTTTCTCTCAGGAGAAGAAGAGACGAGCTTTAGAACAATTCCACCTCTTCATCCGGGTCCTTATCTGCTGTGAGCTGCTCCATGCTAGGTGGCTAATGCTAGTCGATGAACATCAACAAACTGAAGATCAGAGAGGAGCAGAAACACCGGGTAATACTGAGTACTTTTACTATAATACTGTGTACTTTTACTCCTAAGATTACTGAGTACGTTTACTATAACACTGAGTACTTTAAAACTGATCATACTTAGTACTTTTTTTATTTGGAGCTGTTCATCGATCATTCCTCACAGCAGGCTCACCTCGTTAAAGATGGCGGCGCAGACAGCAGCAGCGGCCCCTAGCTCTCCCGAGTCTTTAGTGTAGACCGAGAGGTACTCAGCGGCTTTGGAATACGTTCAACCTCGCCCTCGCCTGCTACCTACATGCCGAATAGGAGACTCCGCAAGCGGTGTGGGAGGAAGCAGAAGAGGGGTAAGCGCGGAGGCATCCGAGCTAGGCTAGCAGCTAGCCCACACAGGCCCGCTATTCCGAGCATTCTCATGGCTAATGTTCG